ATATATATATATATATTTTAATCCAGGTGTTTTTGGTTTTCCCCCTTGGCTGTAACTATTTTGGCAAATACTGTTCATTGCTTGATGCACTTTTCATTGAGCACGTTCTCTGTCCGTGTTGCTGCTCTGCCTTTCTGTGATTGATGATTTGCTGAACAGCAGCCGCTGTGGCCAAAAAGGCTGCAATGATGACACAGCAGGAAAATACTGAGAAGCAGCTCAACAATTGCACAAGTAGAGCAGAGTTGTAAAGTCAACAATCTGACTCATTGATGTTACAGTTCACAGCAACATCTATTTAAAGCTTGCAAACCCCTGAGAGTATTGAATTGAGCAAGTGTGTGTTTCCCTGCTTATGAATTCAACTTTTCATTCAAATAGTTACATAAACTTGCTTTAATATATGTGAGATTGTCTTTGTTGAAAAAAATGTGGACAAAGTTGCATTCCTGGATTTATAGCTCTTTTTTGAACTGATGAATGCAAAGAAAGTGAAAACATAAAATACATTTAACCTATTTATTGTTCTATTACAGATGAAAACTTACAGTGAACAGTAACACAATAGAGGAAATATTAACATCAATCCTTTTTGAGTATCTTTCATCCACATAAAAACATAGAAAACGAGGTATTGCACTTTTGTATCTGTCCCATAAACTCAGGAGAGACATTAGTCCATTTACTGGGTCATCTTACTGAAAGACTCCCACAGAGCAGTCAGCTGCCTCTTCAGGTTCTGGCTGTCGGCATCCAGATTGGCCCTCAGCTCCTCTCCTCTTTGAGAAAGGTTCTGCTGGATCTCCTGGGTTTTCTGGTTCAGCTGGGTCTCGAAGCTCTGCGTCAGGGGGACCATGCTCCTCTGGAACTCCTCCAGGCTCTGCTCCATCTTCTCCTTGATCTCCTCGGTGTAGGGGACCATCTGGGCCTGCAGCTGGTTCATGCTCTTATCCAGCTGCCCCTTCAGCTCCTGGCTCTTCTGCAGCAGGACGGCCTTCAGGGCCTCTGGGTCCATGGTCTCGGCGTAGGGGGCCGCGTCCCTCTTCAGCTCCTCCACCTGCTTCTGGAGGTGAGCCACCAGCTCATCGGCGTAGGGCTGCAGGCTGGTTGCCACGGCGGTCAGGTCCTTCTCTAGACGGGTCTTCAGCTGCTCGGCCTCCTGGGTAAACTTAGACATGAGGTCCTGGGTCAGAGGAGCCACCTGAGTCCGGAGAGCGTCGGTGAGCTTGTTGACGGCGTCTGTGCTCTCGGAGATGAGGGTGCTGCAGAGACACAAAGAGAAACCAGTCACGGAAAACTCTCTTTGCTTCTTTATGGATTCATCACCCTCTCCAAGCTGATAAACCAGAACTTATTGGTTGTTGTTGTTTTGGTCATGAATGTCTAATGTTATGTTGAAATAGTTCAAGGCTTTAGTAAAAGTGTCTTTATCACTTTGAGACTCTTACTTCACTTCCATTCCCAGCTCGGACTGCCTGATCTGATTCAGGGAGTCCTCGGCGACCGTGGTTGCCTTGGCCACGTAGTCCAAGAATGCATCTTTCACCATGTCGACCTCTTTCTCGGGCTGGCTTTGCCACACGATGTTGGCATTGCAACCTGCTGACAGAACAAAGTTGAATGCATTCATTGCCACAATGAAAACCTTCTTGTTCCAACTTGAATGATGTTGATTTTCACATAAATTACAAAACTTTCTCACCACTGAAAACAGCGAGGGCGAGCACCATGAGGACCTTCATGACTGCGGCTGAGAAGAAACACGCAAAATTAGCTCTTTGTGGTTATTTTTGATATGATGACCTGAAAAGTGACATCGTCCTAACTGGTGTCTCACCTGTGTGGATGCTTACTGTTCAGTCGGTGAGCTGTTGAATACAGTGTGTGTGTGTGTGTTCTGTACAGCTCACGGCTGAGTATATATAGGCAGCCGAGTCCTATAGAGGAAACGCAGGAGCAAAGTTCACCGCTGAGTGCCGTGCTGTCACTGCTGCTGTCACTGCTGCCGTCACTGCTGCTTCCACATCACAGTAACAGTGGACTAGGACGTCACCACTGTCTGATGAAACCTCATGTTGCATCTCTCAGAAAGATTTCAGAGCAAGAAATATATATTTTCTATTGCATAATTGATGTATTGTCTTTATGTGACGCTTTCTGAGAGAGAGTTGTATTAATATTGTTATATTGATATTGTGTATTGATATTGTGTATTAATGTTATTGTGTATTGATGTTATTGTATGTTTAATTTTCTGATGCTTTGGCAATACTGTTTTTTAAACTTTCATGCCAATAAAGCAAAATTTGAATTGAATTGAGAGAGAGAAGCAAAACATATTTACAATATAATACCCTTATGTTACATCATATCTTATTGTAACTAGTGGACACTCAGGAGGCATGAATTAGGGTCACTCATTATGTAATGAGGAGTAAGAAATAGATTAGATAATGAGACTATTCCTATTTTACTCTGTTGCAGTATGAATACTGCATTGTTTTTTGTTGATTACTCCATTATGGAGTAAACATACATATTAACCACATGAATGCTCTCAGCTTAGATACAAAGGCTGTTGTCAGAGGTTTTATAGGTCAGGGAATTGGGAACAGGACTTTGATCCAGTTGTGTCATAAGAACTGTGGGTAATCTTAACTGAAGAATGTTAAGTCTCCTTTTATTCCCTCCTGACAAACTGATAACACAGAGGAGCTAAAGTCTTTCTCCAGGTGAGATTACTGATAAACATCCAACTGTTTTCATGTGACGCACAAAGTAACCACGAAGCCGATTATAAGGTGAGGTGGATGTAGCTGAAGATGTCCCAATACTGTTGAGGGAATACATTAAATACTAACAGTACATAACAGAAAAATGATTTAGACAAATTAATGTATGTGGTTTTTTTACTCAGGTCCTTCAAAGTGTCTTATTAAACCACCGTTTACAACTCTCCCCAAATACATTATCATCAATTGTTTTGATTTTACAGCCCTCAACTTTACTTGACTGCTTTGGTTCAGTAAAGTCAGTGATGTCGTCAACCTTCATCTAAGCTCTAAAAGCTGACTGCACAACACCTGCTCCGCATCCAACAGCAGACAGACAGTTAGCGACTAGCTAGCTAACAAAGTGGCGCATTTAGCAACAAAAGAGACAGATATATCCCACAGCAGTTGGTGGAGACCAAAAGCAGAGCTAAAAGAGGGTGAATAGTAGCCTCAATGCTAACGCTGCTCTGTATCCGCTGGGTGTTTAAAAACGCGACTGTTTGCCAACACGTTCCTCATTCCAACTTTAGAGAGTTTTGCAGGGATGAGTTTTTGTAGGCCAACAGGAAGTTAGCATGATTCATGTTTTTACAAACAAAAATGCAATTGGCAGAAGTAGAAAGTGAACAGTAGGCTACATACCAACTATAGCAAGGTTGCATTACCTCACCTCATCACTACGAAGCTAAAGGCGGCCGAGTGTTCGTCGAGATGACGTCTCGTAGTCTATTTAGCCGCTTGTTAGCAACACGACACGTAAAGATTCACAGAAAGGGTATATACTGACGTATTTTAAATCGTAGAACAAAACCGTTAAAATCTCTTGTTTTAAATAACTAAATACCCATTTATACAAGATATCGACTTTGAGACGAGGGAACCGTAAATACTAAAAGTGAACTCATTTCCGGGTTCTAGGATGCATTCCTTCAGCACTAGAAGGTGATTAGGAGCCATTATTTCAGATCCTTGCCCTGCCCCCAACATGCCAAAATCAATTAATGCCACATTAATTTTGCATTATTCAAATAAAATGTATTTGCTACAACTTGAATATCCATTAGTTATTACTGGAGACCTGGAGTCTCTGACACATATACTGAGGATAACAGACAAGTGCGTTGGAACAGAATAATTTGCATAAAGTCTGGACATCGCTTGGACCCGTTTCTTTGATAATTCGTTCTGTAAAGGGTCATTTTATCCTAATCTCGGAAGACGTCATGGTTGCAAATCAGCCTACGTATATACTGACGTGAACACAACATATTTACCATCAACCCTCGACGCCCGGTCACAAGTAAACAAACAGATGAAGCCATTAAGAAAGACAACTAAGACACTTAATGAAGAACACAGCTGAGGAAGCTTGTGTGAACATTGGTTCATACGAGGACACAGACTTCATGGAACCAGCTGCTTAGATTACAGTGGCTAAACAAAAACATGATTTAAGTTTTTCCAACAATTACTTAAGATGAGAATATGTATCACAGAACAATAAGACGATGACACATATGACGTGGAGTGACAGCAGTGACAAGAATCTGTCCAGCGGGGCAGATAGAGGAGGACTTTACCCTTCAGCGTGGCTATAAAAGGTCTTAACGGACATCTGCACACCACAAGTCATCGCACTGAGTGAAGAAGAGACAAGCTGCCTCGCTGTAAGGCAACATATTTCAGCATCATTAAAACACTTCATAGCCAAGTGTCAAAGTATAACTTTCAAACAATTTTTTAATTGTGCATTCATTTTTTTAATCCAACAGAGTCAAATTCAATCATGAAGGTACTTGTGGTTCTCGCACTTTTCTCTGGTGAGTGAATTTCTTCCTTTGAAATAAAGGTGAACCACACCCGGTCTGGGTTTCTACTAAAGCCGCCTTTTATCCACAGTCTGCAATGCCAACATCCTGTGGCAGGAGCCGCCCAAGAGCAGTCTGGATTTGGTGAAAGATGCTTTCTGGGACTACGTTGCTAAAGCGACACTCACCGCAGAGGACTCCCTGTCGCAGATCAGACAGTCTGAGCTGGGACAGGAAGTGAAGTAAGAGCAATAAAGAAGCTTAAAGACATTAGAAATATACTACGTGTTTAATTTTAATAACCTTTCTTCTCTGTGTCCGTCAGTACCATGATCTCTCAGAGCGTTGACACAATCAATCAGTACACGGTTGCTCTGCGGACTCAGGTGGCTCCTCTGACCCAGGACTACATGACCCGGTTTTCCCAGGAGGCCGAGCAGCTGAAGGCTCGCCTGGAGCAGGATCTGACAGCCGTGAGCACCAACCTGAGGCCATACGCCGAGGGCCTGGTGGCTGACCTCCAGAAGCAGGTGGAGGAGCTGAAGAAGGACGCCGCCCCCTACGCTGACGCCATGGACCCAGAGGCCCTGAAGGTCCTCCTGCTGCAGAAGAGCCAGGAGCTGAAGGGGCAGCTGGATAAGAGCGTGAACCAGCTGCAGACCCAGATGGTCCCCTTCACCGAGGAGATCAAGCAGAAGATGGAGCAGAGCCTGGAGGAGTTCCAGAGGAGCATGGTCCCCCTGACCCAGAGCTTCGAGACCCAGCTGAACCAGAAAACCCAGGAGATCCAGCAGAACCTTTCTCAAAGAGGAGAGGAGCTGAAGTCCAAGCTGGACGCCAGCGCTCAGGACCTGCAGGCTCAGCTGGCTGCTCTGTGGGAGTCTTTCTCCAAGACCACCCAGTAAACGGACGCCTTCACCAGCCTCAAGGCCTCCGCATACCAAATATTTATTTGAACTTGACCCAATGCATATTTTACCAAATAAAAATCTGACGAAACAAGTTCAGTGTTTTGATGTCTTAATTAGCATGCAATACTGATTATTATTTCACAGGAGTGATTCATACAGAGAACATTTCTATATTCGGACTGTACAGTTAAAGGCAAATTCATAAAGCTGCACTAAAATACACAAGACACAATTTCACGTCTCCGTCCGTGAAACGCTTTGTGCTAAAGCGATGAAAAAAAGAAAATACATAAAGTTGTTGTTTTTTTCCTAACATGAATTTCACCAAGTTCAATAATGCATTTCACAAGTCACTCAATCTAAATCACAGCTGAGGACAAATCATCTCTTTTCATCTCTTTAAAAAAAAAAAATAAAAAATATATATATATATATATATATATATATATATATATATCCCCCATATGGGGTATTGTCAAGAGGAAGATGAGACATCAGACCCAACAATGCAGACGAGCTGAAGGCCCCTATCAAAGCAGCCTGGGCTTCCATAACACCTCAGCAGGGCCACAGGCTCGTTGCCTCCATGCCGCGCCGCATTGATGCAGTAATTCATGCAAAAGGAGCCCCGACCACGTATTGAGTGCATACTGTAAACTGTACATACTTTTCAGTAGGCCAACATTTCTGTATTAAAAATCCTTTTTTAAAATTGGTCTTATGTAATATTCAAATTTTCTGAGATACTGAATTTGGGGTTTTCATTAGCTGTAAGCCATAATCATCAAAATTAAAAGAAATAAACGCTAAAATATATCACCTTGTGTGTAATGAATCTATACAATATGAGTTTCACTTTTTGAATTGAATTACTGAAATAAATTAACTTTTCGATGATATTCTAATTCATTGAGATGCACCTGTATATAATTAAACAATCTTCCCTATTTTTTATCCCAATATCAAAATATGTTCATATATCCAACACAGATGCTCTATAGTTTGTCACATTATTTCAAAACTCCTATTCAAAGGGCCATAAGCTCTGATAAACTAGTTTTCGTGCCAACATCTAAAAGAACCGCTGACTAAACAGCACCTGTACCTCACCTTCCTGGTTCAGTTACCTGAATCTCTAATAGTATAGCTGACAGCGGTCACACAGACTTTTAATCTCCTGAGGGAATGATTATTAAATCTAAACCGACTCACTCGTCACATGAACTCACACTCCAGCAGAGACTGAAGGAAACCACCAAAGACGTGCAGGTTTTGTTTTTTTTGTAAGAAATGGCATTTATCAGTTTCCAAGAGGTATATACAGGTCATATATATACTGATCCATATGTATGTAACATAAAAAAGGCAACAGAACAAGTGATGGTTTGTGTGACATGCAGTGTTGGCTGGTAAACGGGTCTGTAACCAATGAATCCCCTTTAAACAAACTAATGACAATGATTTCACCGCACGCCAAGACAGGATTTACAGTAAAAAAAACAAAAAACAAAACGAGAATAAAACTCAAGACTGGAGCGACAGGCACTGAACTCAGTGAGGAAAACAAAGTTCTGTGATTCTGTAATGTCTCTTTATGCGTTTCTACTGGTTTGCGTCGAGAGTCCGCAGTCAACAAATTCCCGACCAATCACATTGTTTGTTTCGCTTCGGATCATTCAGGCGACGATTCTTACAGGATTAAACGCATTCGATTTTTATATACCTCTAACTTTATTACCTTCTGAAACCAGTAACGCGATGATGGTCGAACGGAGCGACAGATTGAAGAAGTGATGGGACGGACGGACGGACGGACGGACGGACGGACGGACGGACGGACGGACGGACGGACGGACGGACGGACGGACGGACGGACGGACACACACACACACACACACACACACACACACACACACACACACACA